GAGTAAGAACAGGAAGCACTTTAGGAAGTATTTGTAGAAATCCTAGCTAGTGTGATGTTACTCTAAAATAGAGATGGTAATAGAGATAGAAGAAGATGATGTGAGATTATATTTCAAAGAGTAATTTACAGAACTTGCTGATGAGTTGGATATAAGGGGTCAGGCATAAGGCAGACTCAAGGCTGCCTTCTGGTGAGAGCAATACATAGGTAGAGGTACCATTTCCTGAAATGGGGAAAACAGGAGGGAAACAGAGAGAGGGCATGAAAGAATCCTATTTTATGCTGATCTCTTATTTCTCCCACTCAGACAAAAGTAGAGTATGGGTATACTCTTGTCTGCTCTATCTTTGTATCTTTCTCAAAGATCCTGACATAACTAAGCTCAACTAATGTTACATGCATTGCCTAAGTATTACATTTTGAAAACCAGACAATCCTCATTAAGTGTCAGCTTTCAAAGAAATCTGATACCACTTGATACCACAATAGCCAAAAACAAAAACAACTTTCTAGAGGTTTCCAAAAGCTTTCCCATGCAACCTATTTAGATTTTGAGGTCCTATACAGTTACACTTTTCACATCCCTTCTAAGCCATTTTAACTAGTTTTGTGGTGTTTTTTTTTTTTTTTTTTTAGTAATTTTGTTGTTGTTGTTGCTGTTGAGAATATACACCACCAAACATATACCAACTCAACAGTTACAATATGTACAAGTCAGTGACATTGATTACAACCTCCAAGTTGTGCCACCATTTTCATCCTCCTTTTCTGTTGTCCCTTCTCCATTAACATAAATCCATTGTCCTCTAAGATTCCCATCTATTTTTTATAATACATTATGATGTTTTAGGTGAAAGTTTACACAGTAAATTAGATTCCCATTTAACAAGTCATACTCAAATTGTTTTGTTAACATTGATTACAATCCCCATGTGTCAGCAAGGAGCTCTTATAGCATAATGGGTATGGCATTTGGCTGCTAACCAGAAGGTTAGCAATTCAAGCCCACCAGCTGCTCTGTGGGAGGAAAATGAGGCAATCTGCTTCAGTAAAGACTTACCGCCTTGGAAACCCAATGTCCTGTGTCTTAGTACCAACTCCATGGCAGTGGGTAATGTATCAATACTTTCACAGTTTCCACCCTGCCTATCTCATTTCCACTCATCTAGTTTTCCTAGCCCTCCTTAACTTCTCATCTTTGCTCTTGTGTAAATGTTGACCACTTGGTCTCATACAGGTGATTGTTTAAAGAAGCACATTCCTCACAAGTATTTTTGTTTATTTTACAGGCCAATCTATTATTGACTAAAAGGTGTCCTCCGGGAGTAGCTTCAGTTCCAGATTAAAAGGGTATATTAGGGCAAGAGTATTGGGGGTTCCTCCAGTCTCTATCAGTGCAGTAAGTCTGGTCTTTTTTATGAATTTGAGTTTTGTTTTATATTTTTCTCCCATTCTATGCAAGACTTTCTATTGTGTTGCTGGTCAGAAAGGTTGGTAGTGGAAGCTGGGCACCTCTCGTTCTGGTCTCAAGATAGAAGAGGCAGTGGTTTACATGGGTCATTAGTCCTATGAACTAATTTCTTCCTTGAGTCTTTGGTTTCCTTTATGCTCCTGTGCTCCAGAGGGGAAAGAGACTAATAGTTGTATCTTAGTTGCTCACAAGCTTTTAAGACCTCAGATGCTATTCCCCTAACTAGGATGTAGAACATTATTTTTATGAACTATATCAATTGGCCTAGCTATCAAACAATAGTTTCATGTGATTTTATCAGTTAGGTATATTTATAAGAATTATAAGGTATCCTGCAATTTTGAATAGAATGATTATTATAAAAAGAGCCCTGGTATGCAGTGGTCAAAGTGTTTGGCTTCTACTGAAAGATTGGTGGTTCAAATTCACCAGCTGCTCCAGGAAAGAAAGATGTGGAAGCCTGCTTATGTAAAGATTTATGGCCTTGGAAACCCTATGGAGCAGTTCTACTCTGTTCTATAGGGTTGCTAAGAGTAGGAATCAAATCAACTGTAGCAGGTTTTTATGGTTTATTATAAAAACATCACTTTACAAACTATTACTTATGTATTATTTTAGTTACATTTTATAGAGTCCCTTATCTCATTTGATTCATACTATAACTTTGATTAAGTAGGCAAGACATTTGTCATATTTAGTGACAGAGCTGGAAAACCCAGAGTCAGGCTCCAAGTCTAAAATTTATTATTTTACTAATAAAGAGACTGAGGCTTGAAGATGACAAGTGATTTGCCCAAGAATATGATACTGATAATTATAAGTTAATTTTGCTGTCCTCAACAAACTGACACTATATTCTAGCTTTATAAATACTATAGGGTATGATGAACAAGAAGTCTTCAAAATTGGTCCAAATGATAACTAGAGTACTAAAAATGGAACATCCAGAGCACAATTAAAGAGAATGCTGACACACTGTAAAAAATATAACTAATGTTGCTGAGGGAGCTCTGGCAGCATAGTGCCTAAGAGATCTGACTGCTAACCAGAAGCCTGGCGGTTCAAACCCACCAGCCACTCCCCAGAACAAAGGTTAGGTAATCTACTTCTATAGTGATGCCACCTCAGAAACGCAAGGAGGGGTTGCTATAAGTCGGATCTGACTCGACGACAGTATGTTGCGTTGTTGTAATGTCACTGAACAGTTTTTGTGGAAATTGTCAAATGGGAACCTATCTTGCTGTGTAAACTTCCACCAAAACCTTAACAAAATATTATTTCTTAAAAAAATTGTCCAAAAGATATTCTAATTATTTCCCTGACACTCTACTTTTGAAGTCAGAATCATTTGATACAGAAAACTTTCCACTACCATTACGTAACTGTAATGATGGGACTAAAAATTATCTATGGCTTCAAAGGGTCATTTAAGTAGAAAATCTTCCCTTTTACAATTACAAAAAAGAAAAAAAAAAAGTTTCTTTAGAGGAGAATTAACTGTATCTAAAAAGTAATACTTGAGTGTATTATGATACCAGGCAAGTTTAGGCTACAGCTTGGTAAATTTCCACTGCTCACTCAATTTGATTCACATGTTGATGAATAGCCCTGAATGCCTGAAAAGTCCCAGACAAAGCAGTTCTAACCAGGTTGGTCATCATCTTGATGTACTAAAGAAATCTTTGCTTTACTAAGTGCCTCATAGATATTAACTTCTCTACCCAGGGGAGTTAGAGCTGCCATTTTTAAACATGTGATATATGACAGCCTATGTTTGTCTAACTGTGCCTGTGTAATATGCATAACCATGATTGCTGATGTAATTGTATGTACTTCCTAGCTGTAAACTGTATAAGGAACACTGCTGAACCCATTATTCACTTAAGCAGTCTTGATGGCACACAGCCTGGCTGTTCCTTTCCTTGACCAATGAAATAAATCCACTTTCAACTTGCCAAACTTGGTCTTGTCATTTGGCTTGATGGAATTACACAGAGCAGGACCCGCAGTTCCCGGCAGCAATACCACAAGCTTCAATTACTACTTTTATGTTGTTCAAAACCAAAACAAAGATATCAGATGATATACTGCACTGGGCAAATCTGCTACAGAAGAGTTCCTTAAAGTGTTAAAGAGCAAAGATCACTTTGAAGACTAAGGTATAACTGCCAAGTCATGGTATGTTCAATGGCCTCATATGCACGTGACAGCTGGACAATGAATACGGAATATTAAAGAACTGATGCATCTGAATTGTGGTACTGGTGAAGAATACTGAAAATACAACAGACTTTCAGAAGAATAAACAAATCTGTCTCAGAAGTACAGCCAGAATGCTCTTTAGCAGTGAGAGTGGCCACATTTTGTCTCTCATACTTGGGTCATGTTATCAGAAAGAACCAGTCCCTGGAGAAAGGTATCATGATTACTAAAGTAGAGGGTCAGCAAAAAGGGGGAAGACCCTCAATGAGATGAACGGACACAGTGATTGCAACAATGAGCTCAAGAGTAGTAACGATCGTGAGGATGATGCAGAACCAGGCAGTGTTTCATTTTGACATACACAGGGTTGCTATGAATCGGAAGTGACTCAACAGCACCTAACAACAATAACTACATCCCTTTTAGTGAACCATGACCTTGGTTCTAGGTCAATTTTACTGTCAAACACATTGAGCATTGAAATTTCATAAATTTCAGAGTAGCTTTATGCTTGTCCTTCGTTCATCTCATTTACTTAAAAGAACTTGGGGGCAGTTTGAAAGTAGTTCAGGATTCAACAAAAACAAAGTACTTAAAGTATATATAATTCATCCAAACAAACCAAGGAATTAGTTGTTTGCTTGTTTGTTCTAACAGTTCAGAAATAGCACTTTTGAGTGCCAAAAGCAAATTCCAAAAGGTCTCCTAGGATTACTGTTACAAATTTAAAAATGTAAGAATCAAACCATTTAAAAATATCTATGATCCCCATTTTCAGCAATGTCAGTTCTGTTGCTGATTTTACATAAGTGAATCTGTATCAATTTTATTGCCCTACTTTAGAGGATGCATCCAAATGGAAACAGAATTGAGTTCAAAGATGTAACAAGTGTGCATATCTCACAAGCTCAATGTTATATTTTTTTAATTGAATTTTACTTGTAAACAATGAGAAACCATTGAAGGTTATTATATAGGGGAGTGATACAATGAGAGAGAGCTTTAATAGTGTAACTTTGTCTGTAATGCAAAAATGGATACCTTTAATAGAAATTAGAGATGGGAAGGTGTTCTAATAGTCTAAGTCAGGAGAGACTTTTATCAAAGTACAGATTCATGGGTCTTATCATGGAGATTCTGATTTTGATTTAGTAGGTATAGACTAAGTCCTCATAATCCTAAATGAAGAGCTAAAAATGGATGTCTGGTAGTGGATTAGAGTTTCAGAGGGATGGTATCCTTAATGCTGGCATCACTAGAAGAATATCACAAATTTATAAAAATTATAATGATACTTTATTTCTGTCACATGAATACTGACTCACCTGTATCAGGGTCACATTTTAGGTCCAGTGGATGTACAATAGGGTGGTAATGCTTCTAAACAAAATACAAATTAAAACAGATGATAATAACAATTTAATTGCTTAATGCCTTATGTAAGCACTTCCTTCAGCTAATTTAAACAAACATACTATACAGTCAGTAGTACTATACTTTTGCAAAAAAAAAACATATATGTACGTGTATATATATATACACACACAAACATGTACATATGTGTGTGTATACACACACACATATATATATGTACATACACACACACACACACACACACATGCACATATTTGATCCTGAATTCTGTAGGGAAAGGAAAATAGATGACCATTCAAACCAGACTGGTTTACAGCTTTTATAGTATTGCCACCTACTGCATATGCTAAGAAATGCAGCTTAAAAAAAGAAAAAGAAAAGCAGTATAAAAAATAATCTGAAAATGCAACCAAGCAAATTAAAGACAAATAGAATTTCATATTTAAAGTTCAGAGTTTCTGAAAAGTTCAATCAAATGTTCAGAACTCTGAGCCCAAAAAAGTGGTTAGACAACCATGTCAGCATACTGAAACTGATATATCTTATCATACTCCAGAACTATAAGAGTGAGATCCATACTCAGGCAAAAGGAATGAGAAAAGTGTTCCTTTTCACTCTTGCCCAAAGCTAATAGAAGCCCAAAGATTACTTTAAAAAAAAAAAAAAAAAAAGATAAAATCTGTGTTTAATATCCTTACTTCATCCATTTTACATTTAAGCTTCCACCACAGCACCTATGCTTGCCAACTTTCATTCTGCTATGCAGTACTGATTACCAGTGTTTTGTTTTGTTGAGGGGAGGAGGAGGTGGAATATGGGGAAAGTAGGCAGTAGGGAGGGAGATGGGAGAGACTTGAAAATAAAAACGTTTCAAACATCTTTCCTGAAGAAACTTAAAAAAGAAGGGGCTATTTCTTTGAGTACTAACTGCCAGAGAGAAAAATAAATTAAAAATTTTAATTACAATTTTTTTTCCCATATGGAATGATGGCTAAAATGTTTCAGATAAAATATTAAGCCTGGCCTTTATTGCCCTAAGACAATTCCTGAAATGAATTTATATGTGAAATTAGATTAACTTCAAAAACTAAGGACAAATACAACAACTCGGAGGATCTATGTAGGAGATCCTGGACAGAGAGGGAGAATTTGGAATAAAACTCAAAATCATTAAAAAAAAAAAAAAAAAAGGGACCAGGTTTGCTGGTCTGATGAGAGATTGGTGGAACCCCTGAGAAGCTATGGCCACTAGCTGCCCCTTCAGGTCTGGAATTGAACATACTCCTATGGCTTCTAGCAAACAAAAAACAGGCACATGAGCTGAACATTTGCATTAGGTAGATACACTCCTTGAAGAGATCAATCATGGGAGAACAGAAGGAGGGCTGGGTATGCACAGGAAGACAGCTCAGGGAGCAGGAATGCATGGGACAGAAGGACACAGGGAAGAGGTGACTATGGGGAGGAAATGGGAGGGGAGCTGTTGCATTGTAGCAAACTGCAGTTAATGTCATGAAACAAAGTGTACGTGAGCTGCTGTATGGAAAGTGAATTTGCTCTGTAAACTTTCACCCAAATCACAATAAAAATTAAAAAAAAAAAAGTAACACAAAGGACCTATAGGAAATCAACTGATAAAATAAATGGTAAAGTTTGAATCAGGGAGAAAAAATACTAAGGACAAATAGTAGAGGAAAATCTAAAAGCAACATGTTTGCTCCTGAGGGGCAATGTCATCCTGACCTAAGTTGTTTGTGGACATTTTGTTTACTTTTGATTTAGAGATGGATTTATTCCACTTATAATAATTCTGAAAAGATGGGGGTGTAGTATGGATGGTCATGAATAGCTGTCATTATAAAGCAGCAAGCCTGTTCCTCTGCTTGTCTAAAAACCTCAGACTGAGGGAGCTGACTGGTCCTCCCTGGTCTTGTGACCAGGATGGTCATGACTTCTGGAGCCAAACAATTACATACAATTTAATTTATAAAGAAAATTTCAGTGTTATAAACAGATACTCCATCTGTTAAATCTTCATCAATTTAACCAGCAAATCTTCCAAAACATACAAACACATATAAATAATGTGCCAAACATAAACGACAAATAGGAAGAAAAGGATTGAAAGATAAATTTATTTTCCTTTCCTGGTCTCAGAATTATAAAGGCATTTGGAGTCTTTCATCTTTAATTTCTGTTTTACTATCAGGTATGTTTAAAACCCAGTGTGACTTAGAACAGAAAAGTCTTACAAGAGCAAACAGCAGTTATTGAGGCAGGAAAGACAATGACAAAAGGTATCATTTATCTCCACATGGACTATACTTTTTTATTTTTGAATATTTCGTTATGGTTTGGGTAAAAGTTTATAGAGCAAATATTAGTTTTCTATTCTTGGATTTTAATTTTAAAAATAAATCATCTTACCAGATTTTCTTGTTTTGCTTTTATGGTTTTGATGACACATTCAAGGATCTTTCTGGAATACTGCTTACGTTTTGTGGCTATATCTACTATGATTTCATCAAACTGATCTTCAAGTTCTTTGATGTCAGAATCTATTTCAGGAAAAAAAAAAAGTGGTTAACTAAAAAATTCCTTAAAATGCTACATTGTTTACATTCTATGTGGAAATGTGATGTAAATAAAATTACATTTAGTAAACATAAAATAATTAAGAAAAACAAACATGTCAAGTTAATGGATGCCTCCACGTTGGTGACTAAGTTATATACTAACTGAAAATCAATTATTGAGTACCTATATGGCAAGTCAAAGGAGAGCTGGTGGTGTAATGCCTAAGGCATCTGACTGCTAACCAGAAGGTTGGTGGTTCAAACCTACCAGCCACTCCATAGAAGGAAGACTAGGCAATCTACTTCCATGAAGATTTACTGCCTCGGAAACCCAAAGTACTTCCATGAAGATTTACTGCCTCGGAAACCCAAAGGGGGTCGCTATAAGTTGGAATCAACTCGATGGCAGTGAGTATGGAAGTCAGGCTTAAATCAAAGTAATAGATGAAAATAACATGATCTTTTGCTTTCTAAGAACTCACAGTCCACTGGAAGAAGAGACAGATAATTCAAGTCAACTTGACAAATGCAACAGAGGTATAAACAAAATACTATCAAGAAAAAGAACAATGGAACATTAACTGTACCTGGGGAATTTAGGACCTTACAGAGGAAGTGACTTTTGAGCTGGGCCTTGAAATTAAGTGTAAATCCACTGGATAAAGAATGCTAGGAAACAGCAAGACCAGAGAGTGTGTGAGGTTTAGAACTTAGAGAAAAGTTCTAAATGGTTGTAGGATAAAGTAAATGAAGAAAAGGATGATAAAATAAGAATTAGACTGCAAAGACATTTAATTCCAGAGATGCTAATAAGTTTTTAAATTGTTATGGGCTGAACCAAAGTTGTGGCAGTAAAAATGAATGGAGTATCTAGATTTGAAACAGGACTCAACTGGATAGATTGTGGGAAAACAGAAAGACAGGGTGATGTTAGAGTTTCCTTGATTTAGCTAAACCTTTATTAGATCCTTTACTATGTTTTAACACAGTGATTTTCAAATTTTAGCAGAACAAGTAATTACCTGGGAAAGTGTTAGAAGTGTAGAAATTTTGATTCAATAGGTCTCGGATGGGACCCAGAAATCAAGATGAAACAACTGAGGTGATCCACCAACCTTATTTTGAAAATCATTTTAAAGAATATTAAATATGTGAGCAGTTGCCACTGACTCATGGCAACCTTGTGTGTGTCAGAGTCAAACTGTGCTCCAGAGGGTTTGCAATAGCTGATTTTTCAGAAGTAGGTTGCCAGGCCTGTCTTCCAAGATGCCTGAGTGGACTTGAACCACCAACCTTTCAGCTAGCAGCCAAGGACATTAACTGTCTGCACCACTCAGGACAGCAAATATTAAGTAGTTACAAATAGTAAACAGCTAAGTCCTTGGCTTAACTGGTCTACATCGTACCTGTTTTGCTGTGTTAAAGTGTATGCTAGAAGTAGACCTATTTATTTTATTGAGTAAAACCTTTAGTAGGGAAATGTCTAAAATATTACATATTTTATATATTTTTTTGAGATATTTCTGGCATATATTCATATATATGTACGTATCAATAGAGATTAATTAGATATATCAGATGTAGTCCTTCATTCATGTAACAAAAAATAATTTGAGTTCAATTAACTACTGTTTCTTGCGGGTATTATGAGAGATATGGTCATTTCTTACTTTGGATACTCATTTAAATAAGTTGTTGTTGTTGTTGTTGTTGTTATGTGCCATCGAGTCAAACCTGACTCATAGCGACCCCTCCTTGGGTTTCCGAGGCAGTATCCAATCCACCCTAAATTTTAATTTATCCATTAAAAAAGTTAAAATGTACCCTCCAACCATTAGCCTGAAAAGAATAACATACTCTTTTGTTGTCACTGTTAGCTGCTATGGAGTCAGCCCTTAACTCATGGTGACCTCATGCACAATAGGACAAAGAGTTGCCTGGTCCTGCACCAACCTCATGATTGGCTGCAAATCGGACAATTGTGACCCATAAGGTTTTCACTGGCTGATTTGCAAAAGTAGATCACCAGGCCTTTTCTTCCTACTGTCTTAGTTAAGATCCTCTGAAACCTGCTCAACATCATAGCAACATGCAAATCTCCACTGACAGAGAGGTGATGACTGCACATGAGGTGTATCAGCAGGGAATTCAACCTGAGTCCCTGGCATGGAAGGCAAGAGTTCTACCACTGAACCATCAATGCTTCCATTATGCAATATTTTATAATCAGCTAAAAAAAAAACCTTCCAGCTAAAACTTCCATGTTGAGGAAAACGATTTATTAGCGCCACCTATTGATAAATCTACAAAACTGACATTTATAAGCAAATTTGAGCAAGAAAGATTCATTCATTCATTTAACAAGTATTTAGTGGATTCCTTGTGCCAAGCTAAGTGCTGACAACAGAGATAATAAAAACAGATATAGTCCCTGCTCTCAAGAAGCTTACATTTTAAATATCAAATGTGGCTGGTCCTACCTTCTGGAATCAAGTCCTTTCACGATAGTTACAAGGACAGAGAAAATATGTATGGTTTCACTTACATGTTCATCAGTTTGTTCGTGTGTTCATTCATTCACTTATTCATTCATTTATAGCTGATATCATGTGCCAGATACTTGAAAATCTCAGTGAACAAAACAGACAAAAACTTCTGCCATTTTGAAACTTACTTGGTGCTTGTATGTATAGTACCTATTAATCCCAAGTAATCTGTTTTTTTTTAATTTGTGATTTGGCTGAAAGTTTACAGAGCAAATTCACTTTCCATATAGCAGTTCACATACACTTTGTCTCATGACACTGACTACAATTTCCCACAATGCAACAGCTCCCCTCCCACTTCCTCCCCATAGTTCTCTTCCCTGTGTCCTTCCCTCCCATACACTCCTGGCCCCCGAGCTGACTCCCTGTGCATAAACAGCCCTTCTATTCCTCCATGATTAAGCTCTCCAAGGAATGTATCGATCTAATATAAATGTTCTTCTCATATGCCTGTCTTTTGTTTGGCTAGAAGCCACAGGAGTGGGTTCAATTCCAGACCTGAAGGGCAGCTAGGGGCCATAGTCCCAGTGGTTCCATCAAGCTCTATCAGACCAGCAAACCTGGCAAATCATCTCTTAAATGTGTCTTTTCCTTTGTTCCCACTGTCTTGAGTGCAGGTCTTCATCCTTTGCTGGACTACTGCAATAATCTCCCTAAGGTCTGCCTGCCTTGGATTTCCCTCTTCTCCAACCCACCCCTCACAAGCAGTTAGCTCTCTAAAATAACAATCTTTTTTCCTGTAATTCTACTTTTAAAACTTTCACTGGTTTCCTGTTGCTTAAGTGCAAATTCCTCAGCATATCCTACAAAAAGGCTCCAACCTATCTTTCTGGCCACATTTACCTTTAGTTTTCCCAATTTACTTCTGACATTTCCCAAACATCATTCTGTTGTGCTGTATTCTGTTTCAAATATCCTTCTCATCTCCTTCCTGTCTAACACACTCTCATTTATTAAATGCATCAAATAATTACCTACTCTGAAAAAGAAAACAAAAATAAATAAATGATTAATTACCTACTCTGTCAGATCCTCTCCCACTTCCCAAAAAGAAAAATGATTCCATACCCATTTCCTTCCATGAGCAATGAGTTCCTAAAATGTGAAGACCATGTCTTTTCATCTATTTCCCAACATTTAACATGTTGTTGTTATGTGCCATCGAGTTGGGCCTGACTCTTAGCGACCTTTCCTTGGGTTTCCGAGACAGTATCCCTACAGAAGTAGATTGCCCAACCTTCCTTCTGAGGAGTGGCTGATGGGTTTGAACCGCCAGTCTTCTGGTTAGCAGTCAAGTGTCTTAGGCACTACACTACCACATTTGACATAGTGCCTGGCATTTAGCAGGTGCCCATGAAAGACAGCAGAAGTGTAGTACTCTTAACCATCTCCTCTCAGATAAGGAAAAAAACTAAGGATAACCACACTTCTCCTAGCTACCAACCTGTCAGAAAATACTTTTCTTAATCTAGAAATTGATGAACTATTCTATATATGGTAGCCTGGGACCAAACAAAACGGTAATTTCAAAATGTTTTCATAGAGTAAGAGTCAGATAAAGACACAGTGAAAGGCTAGGTCATTTGAAAATACCCCTAGGTGATTCTAATACTCTACTTCTCCTCTACTATTTGGCAACCACTCTACTAATATTTGATAAAACATGATGCTACCATTTTTACTCTTTTAATAAGTATACCAGAAAGTGAACTTCGGTGACTTTGAAGAGAGAACTATAATAATCCCAAGGACTTAATAGTGAATGAAGTCTCCTGGGCAAAGTATTTAATTTTGAAAAGAGAGATTATAACCACACAGGGTTGCTTGGTGGGCTTGGAAGCAGTTCAAGGATAATTGAAAGGGAAATCTGAATAACTAGCTGTGACATCAAACTGTGTTGGTCAGATCCATATAACAAGACCATGGGGATAGACATCATCTGGCCCTCTTGTCAGAGTAGCCCTTCTCCTGGACATTGCTGGGCAGGCAGTGGGGCATTCTGACTCTCTCCCCACACTGACCATTCTTTTTCTACTAATTTTTTTCCTCCTTACACTGACCATTCTCTCATAAACTTTGATTTCTTTAGATATGTCAACACCATAAGCTAGGGTACAATCAAGTCTGCTTTGGACCAGGAAAACATTGTCTGAAAAAAGAGCTTTCTACAAATACCTTACGTGGTACTTTTGTAGCTAAACTTTATACTTCAAAGGGTACTTCATTAACCATTCTACAAGCCACTTGTAAAAACATAATTTGATTTACAAAGTATTACTCATAGGAATTCTCTGGACCTATTTCTTTATCTGGGACTACTACTCCAGTATTTTCCCATAAACTGCTGACATGGATATTTTTGAAAATGGATCAAATAAAAGTCCTATTGAGAATGCAAGACAGAATATATGAGGGATCAAAGTATCTACTGTGCTGTTAGCCTCAGATTATTACTTCAATAGCCTTCTAAATTAGGTTCTTTTTTTTTTCCACAATAAAGGATTAAAAAAAAAGAGTGACACTGAAATGGGATTTTAAAAAAGAGCATTCAAAATAAAATCAGCCACAAAATTAGTTCCGAAATGATAAAAGGAAAAATTAAATCACATACCTATAAAACAATTCTCCGAAGCTTCCTGCCACGCTTCGCCATTAATGCTGACATTCTCTTGTACAGCTGATTCAAAAGTCTGCAACAAATTCACAACAGGAAAATCACTGAAAATAACTTCAAATACTGAATTCAAATATTTTGGCAAAGTATCAGTCCATATTTGTGACAAAGGATATAAAGTGACAGTTCAGTATTATGCTTTTTTAAGATCTATATGGGATAAAAGTCACAACAGCAACTAGAAAGATTAGATAGGAAACTTAAGGGGCAATGAGTTTGCTAGCAAGAGGAACAACTCAGAAAAGGATGAGGAGGGTGAGAAAGGTTACCTAACTTGAAGAATGTAATCGGTGTCACTGAATTGTACATGGAGAAATGGCTGAACTGATGTATGTTTTGCTGTGTGTATTCTCAACAACAAAATAATTTTTTTAAAAGTGGCACATTAGTCTACTAGTATATTTACTATTTTCAGTGAAGATTCCATTTTAATCACCAATTCTACCTATTATTTTAACTCTGATAGTCATTATGCTACCCATAAGAATATTGATGCAAAATTTTAGAATATTCTTGAAAACAAATAAAGTACTTCCTAAATGAAAGAGGAAAGAAAGCTAAAAAGTTTGGACTCGGTTGACCCTCAGAGTACAAGTACTATATATGCTGTTGAATGAGTGCCATGTTAGAGAGAAAAAACATGCATGTTTAGAAAAACATGAAATTACTTTCTACTTTATAAAGAACTATATTTTTTTGGAGACATACTAAAGCATGTAGGAATGAAATGACATGTGATCTCGGATTTGCTTTACATCAGTAACAACAAAAAGTAGAAGTTAGTTGAAGTGAATGTAAAAAAAATTTTAGTAACTATTAAATATGGGGATGGATGTGTGTGTAAGTGTGTAGTATCTGCTATACTAATCTGTTTTTCTGTAAGGCTGTAAGTGTTCGTTAATACATTTAAAAAAATAATTAATGCATTAAATGAATTTAGTAGGACCATTAAAATTTTAAATACATATTCCCTATTAAGGAACAATTTCACTTCTAGCAATGTATCCTGGCAGCTCTGGTGGCATAGTGCCTAAGGCATGTGACTGCTAACCAGAAGGCTGGCGGGTCAAACCCACCAGCCACTCCTCCGAAGGAAGACTGGGCAATCTACTTCCATAGAGATACCACCTCAGAAACACAAGGAGGGGTCACTATGAGTAACTGACTCCACAGCAGTAAGGTTTTTTTTTTGAGCAATGCATCCTAAGGCACTGTCGTCACAAAAACATAAAAAAATTAGTACTAGGAATGTTCATTCTGGCACTGTTTGAAATATTAAAAAATTGTGGGAAAAATGAAATTCAAAAATTCAAAATAAGGATAATGGTTAAATAAACTATAACACATCCATACCATGCAGCACTTAAGAGAATAAAGTATATCTCTACGTAACAATGACAATAGTCAAAAGATATTTTGGTGAAAAACAGTTGCTAACAATATATCAGCATGACACTATTAATGTTTAAGAAAAAAGAAAGATACATAGAGCTATAAAGAGGTGTGCAGGATTACCTACCTCAAATGCTGCCCAAAGTTAACACTTAACCCCAGAAAAGAAAGGTTATGGGGAATGGGAACTCAAAAGGACTTTTGCTTTGTGCTATTGTTTAAATTTTTTACAATGAAAATGTATTTTGTACCATGTATATATATAATTAGAAGTAAAATAAGAAGCCCTGCTGGTTAGCATTGCTCACAGCTGCTAACCCAAAGGTCTGCAGTGATTTGAACACACCATTGGCTCTGCAGGGGTAAAAGATGAGGCAGAGTTATAGCGTTGGAAACCCTAGAAGCAGTTCAACTCTGTTCAACAGGGTCACTATGAGTCAGAACTAACTCGATGGCAGTGGATTTGGTTTATAAATCAAATAAAGGAGCCCTGGTGGTGCAGTGGTGTAGTGCCTAAGGCGAGCCCTGGTGGTGCAGTGGTGTAGTGCCTAAGGCATCTTATTGCTAACCAGAAGACTGGTGGTCCAAACCCACCAGCCACTCCTCGGAAGGAAGACTGGGCAATCTACTTTTGTAGTGATACAGCCTCGGAAACCCAAGGATGGGTTGCTATGAGTCTAACTGACTCAATGGCAGTGAGTGTGGTTTCAGTTTGGTGGTGCAATGATTAAACATATGGCTGCTAACCAAAAGGTCTGCAGTTCAAGCCCACTATCTCTGTGAGAGAAAAGATGGGGCATTCTGCTTCCTTAAAGATTTTTCTAAGATTTTCAGTCTTGGAAACCCTATAGTGCAGTTCTACCCTGTCCTATAGGGTTGAAACAACCAGTATAGATCAGCTAATGACTGATCATTAGGAGTTTGTATTATATTCTACACTTTTCCTTAAAAATTTTATAAAATAAAAATCCTTACTCTGTGTATAGATTTTCAAGGATTGTCTGAAAACACAAATTGTTTTTACAGTATTTATTGCACAATCCAATCAATACTTTTTTTTTTTTTTTTAATAATATGTGCTACTATATTATGCAGTTTTAGATAGAGACACACTGGCATAATTAAAATCGCTGCCTTCTACCTATTCTACTAATTACTAATGAATTCCTTTGATAATCCATATCTTCAAACCTTTCTCTTCCTAATTCACTTTATCACCCCATTTAAATAGTGTTTGAATTCATGACATTAAGCAGAGCTCCTCTTTTTCTGTAGAGTATTTAAATGCTTTACGTACCTTAGGACTTCTTGATCAGGCAAATTCTAGGATCTATTTGTAAAACAAAATAGACTTCTCTGAAAAAACTATTAAGAAATTTACTGAGATATCTATTCTTGCCTTGCTCACAAGGATAAAACAAATATAAAAACCATTGTATACAAAAGGAACCCTGGTGGCGTAGTGCCTAAGGCATCTGACTGCTAACCAGAAGGTTAGCAGTTCTAACCCACCAGTCATTCCGTGAAAGCAAGACAGGGTGATCTACTTCTGTAAAGATTTACTGCCTTGAAAATCCAGTGGGGGGTCTCCATGAGTCAAAATCAACTCGATGGCACTGGGTTTAATTTTTGGTTTGGGTGTACAAAAGTGGAATATAGAATCACAACTCTGGAAGTGTCTGTTAATTCTTCTTTCACTTAACCTTTACTTTTATTGTTTGCACTGGAATCATTCCTACTCACAAGTATGTTGCGTTATAAGCTTTAAAAAATTTTTAATTTTTTTAAAAATATATATATACATGTAGATATATATACATAGTTTGTATGTTCCTTATAAAAGACACTAATCCCTCAATTTACTGTATCTTCCTCCAAAAAAAAAAATATCTTCTTCAGAACTTTGCAGAAATATTTGAGAAAAGAGGGGGAAATGTGCATAAGACCCTGGGTATGATCTTACATATTGTTGTTGTTATGTGCCTTCCAGTTGGACCCGACTCATAACGACCCCTCCTTGGGTTTCCGAGACAGCATCACTATGAAAGTAGATTGCCCAACCCTCCTTCCGAGGAGTGGCTGGTGTGTTTGAACCGCCAGCCTTCTAGTTAGCAGTCAAATGCCTAGGCACTATACTACCAGAGCTCCCATGATCTTACATAGTAATGTTTATAACCAAGACAACTTCCTTATCTGTTTTAGACTGGTAGGAAAAACATTTTCACTCTCTTCACGTCATGTTCTAAAAACAGGAAGAAGAAAGAACAAGAGATAGCCCGGTGACTGACTTCCAGGACCATCCTCCTTTCCTGGAAGATTCTTCCTCATGTCTATGCCTGCACTGTCCAACAGGGTAGAAACTAGCTTGTATGTGCCACTGACCACTTAAAATGTGGCTAGTCCGAATTCAGATGTGCTGTAAATGTAAAACGAGAAACTTAGTAGGAAAAAACAATGTAAAATATCCCATTGATTTCTATACTGCTACATAATGAAGTATGTTGGCTATATTGCGTTAAATGTACTAAAACTAATTTCACCTGTTTCCTCTAATTTTTTTAATTTAAAATTGCACAAGCAACTCGCCTTTTAGTCTAAGTAGTAATACTCAGCGTATATTAGCATTTATTTTCGTCTTCCCCTCGCGTTTCTGCGGCTAATTCTATAGTAGCCTGGGGTACTTAACTCTGCCAAGGTCTGTCATGGGTTCTGTTCTTAGCCCTAAGACCCAGGTTGTGAAAAAAGAGTGGAGATGGGGCCCGTACCCACTGTGCATCCCGCAGTGCGGGCTCCCGAATCTCCTCTGGCAGCGCATCCCCAAGCTTTTGCACGAAGCGGCCGCACAGCTCTAGCATTTCGGTCACGGCCTGTTTCGAGGTGCAGCGCACCCGGAAGTCCTCTCTGGGAGTGGCGGAGACCGAGGCCAGGTCGTTTGTCCCGTACACAATCTCCTCGTCCGGTGGAGGGGCGAAGACAAGCAGCTCAGGCTCCCCCGCCATTTTTTCCAGTTTGAACTGTGGGCGGGGATTCAGAGAGCGGAAGGGCGGGGACTCCGTGAGCGGAAGAGCGAGTCCTACTTTTGGAATAAGCACTTGTCCGTCCGGAAGCTCAAGTTCCCGCAGCTAAGAAGTTCCGACTGTGCAGTTGCATGTCAGGCTACCGCGGCGGCGATGAGGGCAGTGAGCACCGGTCTAGTGGACTGTCATTGCCACCTTTCCGCCCCACACTTTGACCGCGTATGTGAGGGCAGGGCGGGGTTCGGGGGAGCGGGCAGCTCCTGTCCTTTCCCCTCAGGTTAGCTTTGCTCTTCTCCCTTAAGACAAAGCTGAAAATCCTCCCCAGGCTCTCCCTTATGTCTCTGTGGGACCTGCCCCTGGTTCCCTATTTAACCTCACTCATACGAGTTTTTTCTTTCTGTGCCTGAATGGCGTAAGCTCCCTCTGGCCACAAGGCTCTTGTTTGTCGTACTTGCTCCTGGAGCCCACCTTCCCCTACTTTCTGTTTATTTATCGGGCTTCTCAGCTCTTGGCTTAGACGCCACTTTCCCTGGCAGCGGTCCGCGAAACATGGCTCTTCCAGCCCTCGGTATTATCGCCTCGTGCACCAGTTCCAATGGGAGACCGACGCAAGCAAAAAGAACACGTAGAATTAGAATTACAGACTGTCTTACCTGCTCCTTTGGAAACTAGCAGCAGATAATAGAGAAGGAAGAGCAGGATCTATCTTAGGGTGAAATCTTTCTAGAGGTGACACTTAAGTTGAGGCTGGAAGGACAAAACAGCCTGTCAAGCAGGAAGGTGGGTTTGTGGTGGTGAGGAGAGCAGGCAGGCTACAGACTCCCAGATAGGGTAGAACTTGGCACATTCAAGCTACCGAAAGGCTGGATGGAGCCTGATGAGCTAAAAATGCCTGAAACAAGACTGGAGAGATTTGCAGGAGATAAGAGATGTGGGTTAGTAAGAAACTTGGATTTTTTCTTTTTTAAAAAAGAATTTTTCTTTTAAAAAAAAATAAGCAAAAAAAAGGAATGACAAGATCTGGTTTCCGTCTTAAGATGCTTTTGCTGCTTTGTGGCAAATGGATGAAGGAGAGCAAGAGTGGAAGCTAGACCAGTTTTGCCCTTTGTAGTATATAGACAAAAGATGATGGTGTTTGGTATTATGATGGTAACATGGCAATTTGAAAGAAGTAGATGGACTCGATATATTTTAGAGGTAGACTCCATAGTACGTGAAAATTTGAGTATGTCAAAATAAAGCACAAAAAGAATTAAGGCATTTTGGGTTCATTTGAACATTTAATCTGAAATACAAGGAGACCTTTCTGTCCAGAAAAACAGAACGGCTCATCTTAGGCTAATTACAGTGAGTTTTTAAAAAGAAAAGAAGAAATATGGAGTGGAAAATTATACATTGGCTAACCTTTGGCATGATATTTATCTTGGATTCTTTGCACAAAATTAATGTTTTAAGTATATGGTGAGCAGATCTCTTGTCACAAGGGGAGATTTATAAATTATGTAGTCACTGTGTCTCCATTGTCTCCTATATTTCTGTTTTATCTGTTCTCAGGTACATACCATAGCAGTCACTGACCTTTGTGATTTTTCCTATGTACAGAGAGTAGTCTGTCATCTTGGTCCTCAGTTTCTCTTTAACTAAATTTTTCTCACTTTTGGTCAGTAATATTACTGAGAGCATGACCAAAAAATCTCAATCATCGCTTAGTTAAAATCTTCATTGGAGTAATCTGAAATCTGTTCTGTTACTCCATTTCTTTCTGTTGACTGGTGATGGGAACTCTCATTTGTGGTTGTAGCAGCTGCTCAAGTACATTTATTTAAGATTAAGCATTTGAGGAAGGCAATTAATAGTGATAGTGACTAAGAGGGCAATGCTCAATGTTTGAAAAGTTTCTTTGAGCCAAGGACCCTAGGAACCAAGATTTAGCCAGAGAATAAGTCCTGTGGAGTTTCAAGTTTTACTTTGGGCAATTTGGCAGTTTCTTGCTTGGTATCATTTATGTATACACAGCATTGTGACCCAATTGGAGTGCAAACACCTCTCTGTGAGGCCAACATAAAATCTAAAGCTAGTCTATTCTGTAAAGTCATTTTACCAATATCTGATATTTCTTTGTATAGAGAAAGGATGGCTTGTCTGATTTGTAAAATTACATCTTCTGATTCTGTTGTTAACTTATTACCATATGTAATCTTAATTTATCTCCCAAAACAAGAAATTCCAGTTTGAGACAGGAGTTAAGCTTATTTGTCCTATACGTTTGTTTTCATTTAAAGTTTCTTCCCAACTTCCACTTAGCGCTGCATCTAAATGGACAATAGTTTGTTCTCTTATTTCTACATTGTTCATGTCTCTCATATTTCCAGTTTTCCCTTTGGGTAAATGATTGTATATGGATACATAGGGAATAGCATAAGCTATATAGCAAGAACCAGTACAATTTGCAGGTAAAGCTTTATAAACCCATTGGCCACAAACAAAGCAGTGTCCGTTTAGGCCATAAAAGGCAGCCTGTTACCTCTGGCAGCAGAGGCAATGGCTTGTAAAGCTAGCTGAGAATAAACACCAAAAGGGGAATCGTATCCATATTGGTCATTATCTGAGTGCAAAATCTTGGTGCCATTCAGCTAGCAGTTTACTTTGCCAGATTTTTCATCCCATTAGAACAGGTTCTGGTTAGAGAAATGGGTCACTTGAGAAGTGGGACATATAGTATTCCAGAAGGGGGTTTGACCATTACATTGGGTATCGGTTTCATGAAAACAAAAAGAGCTTTGCCAAATAGTTACAGAACAAACGCTATTGCCTACTGGATGCCCGTTTGGTTTGTCGTAGAACACCAAGTTCCTGTAGTTAACACTGCCACATCGTAATAATCCCAGTCTCTGAGACTTTTGAGGTGAAGGCTAGTGTCGTTCCAGAAAGGAGATCTGTCTGCTTGAGTGTATCTAGTGCTACTTGTCATAGCTAAATCCAAAAGGGTTAAGGGAACTGTGATTGAGGGTATCCCAGTTTGGGGGTTTAATGGGAGAGTGGGCACAAGCCCAACAATTAGTTTGATTAGTGAGATTAGCTGTTTGATGACCAAGGAGTACAAAGAAGTTATGTTCTCAAAAGGTGGTTACAAGAGGGAATAAGATGAAAGAAAACAATAGTATTTATCATTTTGATCTGTGACCATGGGTGGAAACAGTGCATATCATGCAGTCTTCTTATTCCAAGGATCTTGGGTTAAGCTGTCTACCTCAGGGTCATCTGCTCCTGCGGCTTGATTTTATCCTAGTAGATCTTTACCCTAAGATCAGAGAGAGGTTAACAGGTCCATGAATATGAAGGGGCTCATGTTAGCTAAGAAGTGGGTACCCAAAGATTGACTGCTTGGAGGCTAGCTATCATGTGTGTAGTAAGACGGATCAAATAAGATCTCTTCCATGTGATTTTAATGCAGCCTTGCATTGGAAATGTTTTTAGATCATTTGGGGAAAAAAAAAAAAGGTGGTGGGAATCAGGTTTGCTGGTCTGATAGAGCCTGGTGAAACCCCTGAGACCCTTAGCTGCCCTTCAGGTCTGGAATTGAACACACACCTATGGCTTCCCACCAAACAAAGACAGGCACATGAGTTGAACATTTACCTGAGGTAGATACACTCCTTGGAGAGAATAATCATGGGAGAAAGAAGGGCTGTTTATGCACAGGGAGACAGTTTAGGGGGCAGGAGTTCATGGAGGGATGGACCCAGGGAAGAGGTAACTGTTGGGAGGAAGTGGGAGAGGAGCTGTTGCATTGGGGTAAATTGTAGTCAATGTCATGAGACAAAGTGTATATGAACTGTTGTATGGAAAATGAATTTGCTCTAAATTTTCACCCAAATCACAATTAAAAAAAAAATGTTTTAGGAAGCGTAATCACTGGATTTAAGATTGTGACTTATCTGGTTTTCCTCAGAAAAGGATGCAATTTTTTCAGAGGCTTCTTATACCTGTTGGGAATAACCTTGGGAATATTACATTAAAACTTGACAATATTAAGTCTATTACTGGAACAGAGTTTGTCATAATATGCAAAGGCATAGGCCATCTGGTAACTAACTGTCTCATAAGGAATCAGGCGAATTTTTCCAAATGGTGCAAATCTAATAGCAATAAGGATCAAAGGGATTACTTTTGGACAAAGCAGTCCAGTGAATTATAACAATCTGGCTAGCTTGAGATTCTGTTAGTTCATTCTACTTTTCCAGAAGATTGGGGGTGATAAATATTACAAAAATATAGTTCTATCCCATTGAGAAAAGTAATTGGATGAAGTCTATCTATAAATGTTTAAAAGATCAAAAGAGTCTTCCTTGAGACAATTTTAAATATTTTTCTAGGATTATGTGGTTGGCAAATTACACGCTGATCATAGATTTGTTTAGCAATACTGATGCAATTTCCCCTTCTAGTATATAGATACAATTTGGAGCATTTTATCAACTCAGTGATTAGAGGTTGAATGTAGAGCCTTTGTCAAAGGGAATATTGAGAACTCTGGGAGAACCAAGTGATCTCAAGGCTCTCCCAAAAGTTCCTTTTTAAAATTACAAAAACCTTTATTTTTTTCTAATTTTATCTTTCTAATTCTGGTTCTTTCTTTTGTTTTTCATCCAATTGCCTTAAATTTAAAAACTTAAGAGGGGCGTCATCTGATGCTAGACATTGTTTTTATACTTTGTGTTGTTGTTGTTATGTGCCATCGAGTCAGACCCGACTTTCTTGGGCTGCTCTTTTTGCATGAAAATCAGCTGTGGGATTACCTTGGTATTGATTTGCAGGTGTGAGCCTCTATTTTAATTATAGCTATTTGGGCAAGTAGTAATAAGGCCTAAAGTAATTCGTACACTAATTTTCCATTTTTGATGGGCGTCCCTACAGAAGTAAGGAACCCTCATTGTTTCCCCAGCATTCTAAAATTATGAACTACTCAAATGTGTATTGACCGTCAGTATACATATTGACAAGGAGCTTTGGTGGCACGGTGCCTAAAGCATTTGACTGCTAACTAGAAGGTTGGCAGTTCAAACCCACTGGCCACTCTGTAGAAGAAAGACAGGGCAGTCTACTTCCATAAAGATTAACTGCCTTAGAAACCTAATGGGGGTCACTATGAGTCAGAATTGACTCGATGGCAGTAGGTTTTGTTTGGTTTATACATATTGACATTCCTTTAGCAATCT